GTGGGGCCGCCCCTCCCCCACACCCCCCTCAGTGCCTTAAAATGTGGGCGTGGCCTTCAAAGAAACCGCCCCTCCCCTTAATGACGTCATGGGCAGAGCCGGCTCCGCCCCTTTCCCCGTGTTTTGATAAGGGGGCGTGGCCTCGCGGTGGGCGTGGCTTGTGAATAAAACACCTTTGGCAAAAAAAAAAAAATTCTTTGTGGTTTTTTTTTAAGATTTTTTCCTGAAATTTCCGGAATTTGCCCCAAAGTTTTCAGTCTATTTTATTTATTTATTTTTTTTTACGGAAATTCCCGGAGTTTTTACGGAAAATCCCGAACTCGGACGAAAAAAATTCCCCAATTTTTTTTAAATTTTTCTGGGATTTTTTGCGAGTCGTTTCCGGAAATCCCCGAGCTCTTCACGGAAACTTCCGAGCTTTAAAGGCAAAATCGGGAATTTACGGAAATTCCCCAAATTTTTATTTTTATCTGGATTTATTTTTTTTTTTTCGGAGTTTTTCCGGAAATCGCCGAACTTTTCGCGGAAATTTCCGAACTTTAATCGGAAAAAACCACGAATTTCTCCGGAAATCTCCGAACTCCTCCGACACCGGAAACACCCGAGGAGCCACGGGAACAACCGAACCCCTTCCGGAAACACCCGAAGAGCACCGGAAACACCCGAAGAGCGGCCGGCAACGCACGGAATACACCGGAAACACCCGAAGAGCCGCCGGGAAGCCACGAAACCTTCCGGAAACACCCGAAGCGCCGTGCGGAAGTTGCCGAAGCGCCCGTCCGGAAGCGTCCGAAGGCGCAGCGCAAGCGGCGCCACACCAAGATGGCGGACGGGGAGGAGGTGACTCTGGACGGGCGGCCGCTCCATCTGCTGCGCGTCGCCGACCTCAAAGCGGCCCTGGAGCAGCGAGGGCTCGCCAAGAGCGGCCAGAAGAGCGCCCTGATCAAGCGGCTGCGAGGGGTGAGGGGGAACCGCCAGAAATGGCGGCGGCGCCGAGGAGAGGCCGCCGTGAGGGGAAAGGGGGGGGCGGGAAAATGGCGGCGCATGCGCGGGAGGCGCTGGAAGGTTCCCCCTCAGGGTTTTCCCGCCAACGCGTGAGGGGGGAAAAAAGGCGGGAAGGAGGAGACCCCCCCCCGCCATGAGGGTGAGTGGGGTTTGGGGTGAAAAAAGCGAGTTTTGGGGAGGTGGGAGGGGTTTGGGGTGAGGGGGGAAAAAGTCGGGGTTTTGGGGTCGGAGTTGCGGGTTTTGGGGGAGTTCCGGGGAAAGCTCTGAGGGGGTTCGGGTGTAAAGGGCGGGTTTTGGGGAGTTTGTGAGGGGGTTTGGGGTGAAAATCCCGGTTTGGATGAGTTTGAGGAAAGTCTGAGGGGATTTGGGTTTAAAGCTCCGATTTTGATGAGTTTGTGAGGGGATTTGGGATGAAAATCCCGGTTTGGATGAGTTTGGGAAAAGTCTGAGGGGATTTGGGTTTAAAGCTCCGATTTTGATGAGGTTGTGAGGGGATTTGGGATGAAAATCCCGGTTTGGATGAGTTTGGGAAAAGTCTGAGGGGATTTGGGTTTAAAGCTCCGATTTTGATGAGGTTGTGAGGGGATTTGGGATGAAAATCCCGGTTTGGATGAGTTTGGGAAAAGTCTGAGGGGATTTGGGTTTAAAGCTCCGATTTTGATGAGGTTGTGAGGGGATTTGGGATGAAAATCCCGGTTTGGATGAGTTTGGGAAAAGTCTGAGGGGATTTGGGTTTAAAGCTCCGATTTTGATGAGGTTGTGAGGGGATTTGGGATGAAAATCCCGGTTTGGATGAGTTTGGGAAAAGTCTGAGGGGATTTGGGTTTAAAGCTCCGATTTTGATGAGGTTGTGAGGGGATTTGGGATGAAAATCCCGGTTTGGATGAGTTTGGGAAAAGTCTGAGGGGATTTGGGTTTAAAGCTCCGATTTTGATGAGGTTGTGAGGGGATTTGGGATGAAAATCCCGGTTTGGATGAGTTTGGGAAAAGTCTGAGGGGATTTGGGTTTAAAGCTCCGATTTTGATGAGGTTGTGAGGGGATTTGGGATGAAAATCCCGGTTTGGATGAGTTTGGGAAAAGTCTGAGGGGATTTGGGTTTAAAGCTCCGATTTTGATGAGGTTGTGAGGGGATTTGGGATGAAAATCCCGGTTTGGATGAGTTTGGGAAAAGTCTGAGGGGATTTGGGTTTAAAGCTCCGATTTTGATGAGGTTGTGAGGGGATTTGGGATGAAAATCCCGGTTTGGATGAGTTTGGGAAAAGTCTGAGGGGATTTGGGTTTAAAGCTCCGATTTTGATGAGGTTGTGAGGGGATTTGGGATGAAAATCCCGGTTTGGATGAGTTTGGGAAAAGTCTGAGGGGATTTGGGTTTAAAGCTCCGATTTTGATGAGGTTGTGAGGGGATTTGGGATGAAAATCCCGGTTTGGATGAGTTTGGGAAAAGTCTGAGGGGATTTGGGTTTAAAGCTCCGATTTTGATGAGGTTGTGAGGGGATTTGGGATGAAAATCCCGGTTTGGATGAGTTTGGGAAAAGTCTGAGGGGATTTGGGTTTAAAGCTCCGATTTTGATGAGGTTGTGAGGGGATTTGGGATGAAAATCCCGGTTTGGATGAGTTTGGGAAAAGTCTGAGGGGATTTGGGTTTAAAGCTCCGATTTTGATGAGGTTGTGAGGGGATTTGGGATGAAAATCCCGGTTTGGATGAGTTTGGGAAAAGTCTGAGGGGATTTGGGTTTAAAGCTCCGGTTTTGAGGAGTTTGTGAGGGGGTTTGAGGTGAAAATCCCGATTTTGATGAGTTTGGGGAAAAATCTGAGGGGATTTGGGGTAGAAATTGCGGTTTTTGTGAGTTTTGAGAAAAGTTGGAAGCAATTTGGGTTTAAAGCTCCGGTTTTGAGGAGTTTGTGAGGGGGTTTGAGGTGAAAATCCCGATTTTGATGAGTTTGGGGAAAAATCTGAGGGGATTTGAGGTAAAACTCGCGGTTTTGATGATTTTGAAGAAAACTCTGAGGGGATTTGGGTTTAAAACTCCAAGTTTGAGGAATTTCTGAGGGAATTTGAGGTAAAAGTAGCGGTTTTCGTGAATTCCAACAAAAACCTGAGGGGATTTATGTTTTAAACCCCAATTTTGGGGGATTTGTGAGGAGATTTGAGGTAAAAATCCTGGTTTTGATGAGTTTGAGGAGAAATCGGAGGTGATTTAAATTTTAAAACCCATTTTTGGTGAAATTCTGAGGGGATTTTGGGTGAGGGCTTGGAGGAGGAATTTGGGGCCAAACTCAGATTTTTAGCATTTTCTACAGATTTTTTGGGGTGATTAATCACAAAATCATATTTTTGGGGGGGATTTTAGTTTAAAAATGTCATTTTTGGCGATTTTGGGAGAGAATTTGAGGTAAAACTTGAGGGTTTGGAGACTTTGAGAGGAGCCTGAGGTAAAAAGTGAATTTTTTGTTGAATTTTTAGCGGATTTGAGGTAAAAATTGCATTTTTTTGTGGATTTATGAAGGGATTTGATGCAAAAATCCAATTTTTGGTTATTTTGTGAGGGATTTTGAGGCAAAACTCGGAGTTTTTGGGGCGATTGTTGTCGGAAACTTAGATTTTGGGGTAATTATGGGAGTTTTGCAGTGATTTTAGGGGAAATTATGGGGATTTCGGGGCGGGAGGGCAACAAAAAAGTGAATTCATGAGAAATAGAGTTTTGAATTTGCCTAAATTTGCCTAAATTTGCCCAAATTCAGGCGCTGATGTTGGAGAACCTCCAGAAGCACTCGAGCCCCCACCCCACCTTCCAGCCCAACTCCCAGGTGAGACCCCCCCAAAATCCCCCAAATTCACCCCAAAATCTCCGCAGCCTCCCAAAATTCTCGGGAACCCACCCAAAATTCCCTTAAATTCACCCAAAATCGGCCTCAAATTCCCCCCAAATTTCCTCCAAAAATCATCAGAAAATTAAAAAAAAATTCCCACATTTTTGGGAATTCCCAATTTTGGGAAACCGGGTGTGGGAGGGCGTTGCTCGATCCCCAAAAATTGCCAAAAAATCGCCAAAAATTGCCGGAAAATGGTAAAAAAATCACCGAAAATTGCCCAAAAATCACCAAAAAAAGTCCAAACATCCCCAAAAAAAAGGGAAAAAAATTCCAAATTTTTGGGAATTCCCGATTTTTGGAATCTTGGGTTGGAAGGGCTTCGCTTAATTCCTAAACACCATCCAAAAATCGCCGGAAAATCATCAAAAATTGCCCAAAAATCACCAAAAAATCTTTTTAAATTCCCTAAAAAGTTGGGGAAAAATCCCAAAAAATTCCCAAAAAGCCCAAATTGATCTGAAATTTTTGGAAATTCCCAATTTTTGGAATCTGGGGGTGGAAAGACTTTGCTTAACCCATGCGGAGGTCCAAAAAATCATCCAAAAATTGTCAAAAATTCACCAAAAAATCATTAAAAAAGCCCATAAAATTGGGAAAAATTCCAAAATAATTCCCCAAAATCCCAAATTGATCCCAAAAATTTGGGAATTTCCAGTTTTTGGAATCTAGGCATGGAAAGGCTTCGCTTAACCCGCGAGGAGCTCCAAAAAATCATCAAAAATTCA